ATCAAATAGAAGGTTATACATGTCCATGCCAGAATTGAGACAATGTACAATAAAGATGGGAAATCTTTATTAAAACTGGTGATTCTAACCTATGGCTATTATTACTTCATGAGAGAAACAAACTTTCATTTGCAAACTTTAAAAAGTTTTTGCACAAGCACCTGAAGTGATTTTCTTTTGCTCTATTAAGATTTCTTTGAGATACACAGTCTTGGCCTTTCTCCTGTGATTAATTGTAGAGGTAAAATAGGTTCTTAAAGTAAAATATTTTCCTAATATGAAAAAAGTTGGGCTTCCAGTTCTTACCCATAGCTTATCTAGGAGCAATGGAGGGGGTGGGAATGGGCTGATTCCAAGGCTGTTCTCTATTCCTGTTCCATGTTTGTTTTTCTACCTGTTTTTAAGTGAAACTTACTGTAGTATTATCCCCATGGCATAAAGAGAGCATGGCAGAAATTAATATGCACTTTTGAACAAAGAAAGGTAATTGGGCAGGAGAGAAAACGTCAGGCCTGACCTTCCTTTCTCCTCTCTTTGTTCTTTTTTCTTCTTCCTCGAATAGTTATCTATTCCCCCTTAGATGTCTTGTAACACAGTAAAGACATGGCTGTTTAAGATCACAAAATGCAAACAGAAAGCAAATACAATATTTGTAATTTACAATATACAAATAAATCTAAATAAATAAATAATAAAAATCAAATACAATTCCACCCTCAAATTTTGGCCAATTAAATGGGATGACCTGAAGGGAGGAGAATGAAGTGAGGTGGAGCAAAAACACCCATGTATATGCGCACACCTGCAGGCATGAGCCCATGCATTTAGAGAGCTGGAAGCTCTTCTGGACACAGAATTGTCGGGAAATGTATTTGTTTTTTCCTGCTGTTTCCTCTATCTCTATTATTGCTTTTCAAATGCAAATTACATTATCACTGAGCTTCATTTGCTCTCTGGCCTCTAATATTTAGCAACTGTGCTCTGCGTGGGGTTGACAAAACAGCCCACTCAGTGGAAAATGCCCTGTGAGTGTCAGCTGCAGAGACCAGAGATGTCAGATTATATTTTAGTAGGCTCCATCCTCCCATTGGATTTGAACCACAGGATGACATCTATCTTTGCCAGGACTCACCTGGACAAGCTAAATCATTATCTTTTTGGGTTGGGGTCTGGGTATCAGCCTTTAATTTGTAACTAACCAACCAACCAAAACTCAGTGTGGTTTCTGATAAGACCTCCATGTTAAGAAGCACGGATTTCGAGAAGAGTCTCACTCTTGCATGAAGGCCTTAGAATTTGCCAAAGAGTATTTAGAAAACTTAAAGGAAAGTTTGTCTTTTGATTTTTTTTTTTTCCAAATGAACTTCACTTTTAAAGAACGCAGTCATTTCCCTTTATTTCATTTTTGTCTGTCTTTTGGGAGTTATTTTTTTTTCCCCTCCCAAGTTGACTTAACTTGATATTTTACATGCTGCTTCTTTTTACGTGTTTCACAAATGTTCTGGTAAGTTTGGGTTTCATCCTGTACATTGCTGTGTTCTTGGCTTAAAATGCGCATTGAACCAAGCCTGTGGTGGTGGTAGTAGGATGCATTTTTTTTCCAACTCAAATTGATTAGTTGATATTTTTCCTCTCTGGCAAACAGATGGTGAATTGAACATGGCGCTTTGCTTTTTTTTCTGAGTAGCTGCCTGAGTGGGAATTATATAATAAATACTACAAAAGAACTGCTCAATCAAGAGATTGTACATTAGATGCCACAGCCAGTGTAAGATGTTTTGTCACAGGACAAAGAAGTCGTGTGTCTCTCTCTCTGCTGGGTTATTTAATGACTGACTCAGAAACAGCTTTTACTTTATCCAAAGAAAATCACCATAATTAAGCTGTCTATCCTGAAATTGGTAGTGTATTTTTTTTTTAATAACAGTCAGTGAAACACAAGTGCTTGAAATCTATTTTTAAAAAAGCCCAAGTGACTTTTTAACAAGCACAGGTGTTGCCATCAGGAATGTGACCCCTGCATCTCTCATGAGGATGCTAGGAATCACTTTCCTTCTCACATTTAGCATTTTATATTTTTATAAAATTTCTCTAAATATTCTACAGTTAGCTTTTTATAGGTGTCTTGGAGGAGTACTGATTTAACTATGGCTTGCCTTTCTTTTTTTTTCATTTTTTAAAAAATTTAACTTGTTATATGACAGCAGAATGTATTACAATTCATATCACACATGTAGAGCACAATTTTTCATATCTCTGGTTGTACACAAAGTAGAGTCATACCATTTGTGTCTTCCTACATGTAGCGTAAGAATTAATATCAAGAATCAATAAATGGGACGGATTCAAATAAAAAAGCTTCTTCTCAACAAAAGAAACAATCTGTGAGGTGAATAGAGAGTCTACAATTTGAGAGCGAATTTTCACCACACATACATCAGATAGAACACTAATCTCTAGGATATATAAAGAACTCAAAAATCTTAACCCCCCCCAAAACCCAAATAACCCAATCAATAAATGGGCCAAGGGGCTGAGCAGACACTTCTCAGAAGAAGATATACAATCAGTCAACAAATATATGAAAAAATGTTCAACATCTCTAGCAATTAGAGAAATTCAAATCAAAACTACTCTAAGATTTCATCACACTCCTATCAGAATGGCAGCTATTAATAATACAAACAATGATATGGGTTGCCTTTCGAATGACATGTCTTTCTTCAGAAACTTAGAATGTCTTTGTAGGTTCTGGAAATTTAGGTAGACAAAGACATTGGTCCATCTTCTCAAACTTGACTTTTAAACAGGCAAATGTATGGTGAGGATGAAAGTTATAGTTTAGGAGCGCTTGCTTCAATTCATCTTATGAAGAAGTTCATCTTACTGTGAGGTTGGATGAACTTCAGTTCATTTTATAAAACATTTTGGAGTGAAGAAGGAGCCTTGGGATTCTGACCTGTTGCCCATGTTGGGACTTTTCTCCAGGTTTCTTGGTTTCATCGAGTGATGGTTGCTTGATGCTGTTTCTCTAATTTCCTTGCTTATCTTATACTTGCCTATCCAGCAACAAATTGTGATGCTCACTCTTCTCTTGCTCAACTCAACTGCTAGGGGATTATGCTCATCTCTCTGTGGCTTCACACTACTTAAGCAACACACTCCAATTCTGTGGTTACTAAACTCTCCATGGTCCATTTGATTCCCATAGAGTTATTACAGTTAAGATAATCTTAAATATAAATCTCAATGTCTTAGAATGTTCTGGAAATTTAGGTAGACAAAGACGACATTGGTTCATCTTCTCTAACTTGACTTTTAAATAGGCAGGCAAATGTATGTTGAGTATTTAGGAATGCTTGCTTCAGTTCATCTTATGAAGAAGTTCATCTTACTATGAGGTTGGATGAATTTCATTTCATTTTATTGAACATTTTGGGGTAAAGCAGGAATTGCTGATGGAATTGATGATACAAGATGGAATCTTATCAGAAAAAAAATAGAGATGGTCTCTGATCTAATGATGATTCGATTTAAGATTTTTTAAAAAATATTTTAAAATTGTTGATGGACCTTTATTTTATTTATTTGTATGTGATGCTGAGAATCGAACCCACTGTCTCATGCATGCCAGGCAAGCCTGCTACTAATGAGACACAACCCCAACCTCAGAGATTTTTTTTTATTTTTCATAGTGGTTGTACCCCTACAACAATTCTGTCTCTCATTTTTAGTACAGTACTCAATAAATTATGTGAATTATTCAACATCTTATTATAAAAGGCTTTGTGATAGATGATTTTTCCCAATCACAGGTGAATGAATGTAAGTGTTCTGAGCACATTTAATGTAGCCTATGATGAGAGATGATGTTTGGTAAGTTAGGTGTATTAAGTGTGTTTTTGATTTATGATATTTTCAGCATAGGTTGGGTTTAATAGGACATCACCTTATCATAGGTTGCATCTCTGTATGCCTTTCTGTCTTTAATTAGTCTATAGTTTACCTTGATTGTGTGTTTCTAACTACATCTCTTTCCCGGGCACAGCCAGGACACCATCAATCCAGTTAGACAGGAAAGAGGGCATCCTCCTTTTTTCTGAGGCCCCAGGAGCATTTATCTGTGCTGGAGACCTTTCCAACATGCATTGAAAGTGACTCTTCTGTGTGCGAGCCTTCTTCTACCCTTGTTTTGCCAGTTCTCCACCTCTATTTCTGACCTCTGGCTTTGAACTTGACTTTGATTCTTCTCTGTATCTTTTACTTCTCTTTTAGATTTGTACTCTTCCCACTCCTATCCTGTGGCTTGACCTTGCATTATGTCAATTTATGTCTGACACTCTAGAAACTGTCTTGCTCTATTACATATTTAGGATGATCCTTGTGATCTTGCTGTCTTCCTATTGAAATGTTTGTGGATAATTCTACATTTCTGGGCTAACGAAAATGCCCTTTATTAAAAATGAACTGCCAGACAGACTTAGGGATGATGAAGTGTCTAAGATATGTGATTTGTCTTTTGTTAGTCCTTTTTAGACACACAACAAATTGATTTTATTTTCTGAGAGCTTTTCTTCATAACTTACAGCCATTCTCTGCTAATTATACTTCCAATTTCTCTTGAGAATAATAAAATGAAAGACTGTCTTTGCATTTAATATAACTAAATTTATAGAAAAGAAAAATTGTTTTCTTTCCTGAGAATTCTTGTTACATTTAAGGATTTACAAATATATTAAAATTCAGAAGTCACTGAAAACTCTAGGTCATTTATTAATCTAAGTAACCATTTTCTCCTTCCTTGGAGTGTATGTTTAGGTGAATTAGTGTGAAAATGTGGAGAAATATCCTGACCATTGTAACCTTGTCTCCATATACTCTGATAGTAACCCAGTGAAAGGTGAAATTTGGATTTGGCTATAAAGAATGTACAACTGGTCAGACAACTTGACTACCCAACTACTATTCCTTTCTTGTTTGTTTGTTTATTCCAATCTCAGAATTGACTCCCGAGGAGAGAGCCCAGAAGATTGCCAAAGCCATGCGTAAGCAGTCTTCTGAAGTCAAAGAGAAGTGGGAAAGTCTAAATGCTGTCTCTAGCAACTGGCAAAAGCAAGTGGACAAAGCATTGGAGAAACTCAGAGACCTGCAGGGAGCCATGGATGACCTGGATGTGGACATGAAGGAGGCAGAGGCTGTGCGGAATGGCTGGAAGCCAGTGGGTGACTTGCTCATCGACTCACTGCAGGATCACATCGAAAAAACCATGGTCAGCATCGCTGCCTTTGACAAAGAATTTTTAAAGAATGTTTTATTATCAAATATAACACAAATAGAGAGAGCCAGGGATATGAACTGTTATAAGGGAGTTTTAAAGGCAACACCACTGCAACCCCAACCCAGGTTGAGTTGTGACAGATGTTTTCCACGTATTGCTTGCAGTCTGAACCCTTCCCTCAGTTTATTTGTTGAAGAAACAAATATTTGCTTTGTAGGGTTGCTCACTGCCTTATTCTGCAAGGTTGTGTCCACGTGGTATGCCCCGTGGCTTCCTCTACTCCATATCTCCTGGGAACTGGTAGTTGGATTTAGAGGTTTAATCAAAAACATGCAGTTTTACTGGAAATTCTCATCTATAAACTTTATCTTATTGTCTGAGTATATTAGTGAAGGATGAGTTTGGCTATAATTCCACTCATTGTTAGGAATGCCCAGGTAAGATGTTAGACCCACAATCTACTCTTTGGTTCCCACTTCTCCAGAGAAAAACATAATGAAGTTTAGAAGAGACACAAATAACAGATTTAGAGTGTAGTAGGTTTTGTAGTAATATATTAAACTATATGTTAGGTAGTCATGAATCAAATCAAAAGATAAGACAAGGAAAACTTAAGTGTTCCTCTAACAATGTCCAGTACACATGGAATTTTTATTGCAAAAATTACATGTCTTTTGTGTATAGCTATTGGAAGACATTCTTCCTTTATATGCATGTGGCTGAAAGATAGAAGACCTGAAAAATTAAATGAATACTTAGGCAAATTACGTAAGTAAATACATGTCTTTGTAGACAAAAGGATAACAATAGCTAGCATTTATCAAGGCTTACTATGTGCCAAGAATTGTTCTTAGCCAATTTACATGTGTGTCTCTTTTAATCTTTATACCAACCCAAGGAGACAGTTGTTATTATCATGTCTGTTTTATAGATAACAAGCTGAAGGTAATTGCTCAAACTGAATGTAGCTATGCAGTGGTAGTTCTCATGTGTTTTATTTGATTTTTTGCTGTTGTTCTACTCTTTCATTTCAAAGACCTCTCTTATACTAATGCAGTTTAAACACAAAATTGACAGACTATTTTAATTTAAAGCTCTAAAAGTTACATAGTAAATTTTAAACATAAAAAAATAGTTATGATGTTTGCTACTTTTCAATGTAGTTATATTAAGTGTCCATCTACCCTGAATTAAATAGACCTCTTCCAACAACCTTAGTGTCCTAAAACCATTTCCATAAATGGATAGAAGTTTAAAAGAACATACTGAAAACACAGCCATTAAGATAGTTCCTCTGGAAATTGCACAATTCTTTTATTGTTGTAGATGATTTAAGAATTAGAAATCCTTAAGTCAGTGGTTTCTAAAAAAAGTATATTTGTTGCACATATTTTAGAGCAGGAAATTACCCATTTGAATTTGAAAGTTTCAGTGTATAAGACACAATGATAGTGTTGGAGGAAAAATTAAAATTGTATCTGGAATTATTATAGTCCCCAAAGTTTGGGAGTTGTAAATCTTATTTGTTTAAAGGAATTAACCCACCTCTATATCCAAATCCTTTTGTTCAAACCTCCATTTACATGGAAAAGCTAGAGAAGAAACAGTTAATATTTTAATTGAAAGAAGTACACTGTGGATTAAAATATTTTGCAATCTTATTGGGAGGAAAGAAAATAAGAACTCATTAAGTGTCATTAAGCCAAATAAAATAAATCCAACATCTGTGATATTTTATAGGTACTTAAAGTGTACCCCAAATACTGTTAAAGCTACAGCTGGAGAAAAATAAGTACTGATTATTGCTAAATATTAAAAAATATGTCAAAGCAACTGGATACCAAAATCTTTGGGGATAATCAAATAATTTCAACTCCCTAAAATCGTCCTTAATCATTCTTGTTTGCAGAATATACACCTTCCACCAGGAGACGGTTGAGATTCACACCTGCCAACAAGCTGCAGTTAGCACCTTTGATACTGGCAGATGTTTCTGTTTTTATAGCAAGGAGGGCCACATAGACTCTTATTCTCTTATAGGAAAAGTGCCGTCAAAACATGATAAATTGGTTCTTTATCCTAGAACACATGGCATTTCTGAAAGCATTTACAACTTGTTTTATTTCAAGCCCTTTAATTTGGAAACTCTTAAAAAGCAAAAGATAAACTTTCTTGATAAAAGAGTCCTCTTGGTCATAAAACAAAACTCAAAAAACCTTGTTTGTCAAAGTTCTTTTCATGTTCTCACTTCCAGATTGCTGTAGAAAATCATTATTAGAGAGAAAACATTTAAACTCTTTATTGTTCTTTCAGATTTAAAACACCTGTCTTAAAGTTATAATCTATTTTTAAAAGCCCTTTATTACCTCTTGAAATAAAACTAGTTATTGGTTAAAATTATATAAATCTCAGACTACTTTCTAGATATTCATTGGTAATCTTTGATACCTAAAAATGAGGAGACATTGATTTAAAAAGCTGATTCCATTTCTGAAGTCTTCCAAGGTATCCACGGAGAGAATACTGATATACACAGTAAACATCATGACTGGAGGAACCCAGTTTCTCTAGCTTTTCCATGTAAATGGAGGTTTGAGTCCCACAATTTTTTCAAATAGAATCTTAGAGGAACCCTAGGCCTTTCCCTACCGTCACCCACACTTCCCTCTGTCCCATACTTCAGTATTAATTGTAAATCCTTTATGGAACTATAAGGCCTCTCTTACCACACAACTGCTTTTCTGTTAATTTAACTGTAATTTGTGCTTCTAACTCTGTGTGCACATTCTGTCACCCATGAAAGACCAGCATCTGCAAGAATAGACAAAAACTGCCACAAAACTCTTTCTGTACTGCAGTAATTCACGTGTCTTTTTGGGTTTCTTTTATTCCTCCTGCTTTTTATATGTTGGTGTATGTAGGGTTTTGGCCATTTCTCTTGGGACTCTGAAGACCCAAAGAACTGGCAAAACCTAAATAATTTCATTTTAAATTGATCAAAATGAAGCAGTTGTGGAAATTGATTAAATTATGTGGGGAAACTCAAGGAGGATGAATTACTTTAACAAAGTCTGCTGTGCAGAATTTTGATAATCTGAATCTTCATCATTGATGATGAAAATTACTTTCCTCTTGCTCAGCATTTTCCATGAGGGCTTGTCTCCTACTTTCAGGAAGAAACATTGGAGGGTCAGAGTACACTTTTTTACCTGCTATTTTTTAAAAATATTTTTAGTTCAAAATATGTCAAAGTAGCATGTTTTGGGGTGGCATGCTATAGAAAGGGGGAGTTATGGAAGGTAACAAGAAAAGCTCGAAAGAAGAAAAGAGGGAAGGAGGGAAGAAAGTTTTCTTTTTATAAGTACCAGGAAGAAGCTGAATTAAGACTATAGTGTTAACAGATCTTTATTTTCTTCAGAACACTGTGATTTTTAAATTTTATTTTATTAACTCAACTTCGAGTGGCAAAGGAAAAAAATAAAAAAGCTTTCATAAGTACATGCCTGTAAGGAGAGGGGAATGGAGATGTGATAAAACCAGAGGGCTAGTGCTAATAGATGCTTATTATACCAGAATTAAAATGACGCAGCTCTTTTCACCATTCTGTACTGGCTTAATCTCACCTCAACATCATTTTTGGAGGCCTCTATCAATAGAAATGAATTCTGTCCTCCTGCATTGCAAGTCTTGGGCCGAATGCTGTTCCAGACAAGCTTCTCTTTCTTTGTTGGAGGCAGTAAGTGCTCTCATAAGGATTGATATTCAAATGTTTAACAATTCTTTCAGTATGGCCTTAGCCAATCAAAATGGCCCACCCTAAACCCCAATTTGTGTGTTTGCTTATAGTCCTAACTGAGTTCAAGAGACCAGAGAGAATGTCCCAAGAACACAGGAAAGGGGTCTTTAGGAAAGGCTGTAGAGGGAGAGGCCTCAGAATTTTCTTGAGGGGTAGAGGACCTAGGATGAGTCTTTAAGAGGATCCACAGGACCTCTTGACTCATTGGGCAAGGGGAATGTAACATAGAAGTAGGTGTGATTATGTGGAAAATGGAGAAAAACCTTCTCATTATTTGTTCTCAAAGACAATCATTGTTCCAAAATTCTTTTTCTTCCCCTGTTCTCATACATCCCTGACACCTACACCTACTAGGTCTCTCTGCTGTGCTCAGAGAGCCAACTGTCAGTTCTAGGACTCATTTGCCTCTTTTCCTATCTGCTCTGCTCCTCTTGCCCGCCACCAATCACAGACAGTGGCTATCCACGACTGTGAAAGGGACAGAGGCTACTTCTGCAGTGTGGACTGGGCATGGTCTTTGATCAGGAAAGTTGTTTTCACTGACCTTCTAACTTAATTATAAGTGAAAACACATTGAAATTAACTTACTGAATCAGATGAAGAAAATATTGTCACCATATTAAAATAGAAAGGAGGAGTATGAAAGAAAATGAAAGATACAATGTAGACCAGAAATTAGTAAAGTAGACAATAAAGGCAAACATCTTCCATTCAGATTTACATTCAATAAGGACTATGAAGCAAATGCATAATCATCTACATGAGGCTGCATTATAATTTTTCCCTTCGCACACATATTGAAAGGCTCTGTGTTAAAAAGCGTGACTCTGGCGGGTCATTCGAGTTACTGAAGACCTGAATAAGCCGCTGTTACTTAGTGGGCAACTCCAGTTGACAGATCTGATCGGGCCTTACCATTGTCTGTGATAGAAAGTTGGAAACTCTAGCTTTGGTTATAGTCTTTTCCAATGATGTATTTTTGTGTGTGTGTGTTTGTTGGGGGGCGGGGTCTGTTTCTTCCAGGCGTTTAGAGAAGAAATCGCACCAATCAACTTAAAAGTTAAAGCAGTGAACGATTTGTCCAGCCAACTATCTCCACTTGACCTGCATCCATCTCTTAAGATGTCTCGCCAGCTGGATGACCTTAATATGCGATGGAAACTTTTACAGGTATCAGCTTATCCTCTTCATGACACAGCTTGCAACCTGGGTTCTCTTTAAACCCCTTCTCACATTCCACCACATCCTGTCATCTCTCTCTTGATGGTATCTGATAATGAATTGAACAAGTGAGAACATTAAGAATTTGTCTTTTGGTATCTTGAATCCAAGCACTTCATTTATGTATGAATATAGATTTTAATACAATTTTTATGTGCTTTCAATATGGTATTTATAGAGAATTGTATAGGATCAAATAAATCACAGTTATTGGAATCTATAGAAGGCCACAGAAATATTTTCCCTAGAATGGTTCATAAAGAGTCATTTCTCTTATCTTAATTTTGTATTATTTTTCTTTTGAAAAATTAAGAAAGCTTTCATTCTTTTTCTTTTGACTGGTTTGCTATTTAGGTATCATGCATTAGTTTTTCCAGATAGCACATTAAAAAAACTTTAGCTCTTAGAGCTGAGCTGTTCTATTGCAGTTGTTTTAATGGCTTTAGACCTTACTTGCTCATTTTAGATTTAATTACCACAGACACCTCTTTTGAGTGTCCCCAGGTATCACCATTGGCAAACCACTATACAACTCTACATTCCAATTAAGAATTTATGGCTCAGTCTTGGTGCACTGTGTTACATTTAGTGGCCAGTCCCCAGAAATCATAATAATCACATTTCCCCTCTGAAAATTAGTAGGTTAATAAGAGTATAAGATTGGAGAAATAATTATTACTAATTTTCTGTATAGTCTGGGCCTAAGGTATCTAACAACATGAGCATGTAATTTCAATGCATTTTATTTGAAAGGTATAATATAGTATAGTAGGTTTCTTCCATTAATTCAAATATCAAAATACCCAATGGTTTGCATTTTTTTTTAATGTAATTGAAGAGGTCACAAATGAGTGTGCAGTTTTTCACAGACTTTTCTATGTTCACAAAAAGTGTTAATAATCTGGGATTAGTAAGACAAAAATCAATTAAACTCATATATGCTTACAGAAATGTTTGACCTTTATTCTTTTTTCTTCTGCTCTATTTCTGTAATTCATTATCTTCATGTGCAGAGTCCTGTAGCCCATCATGATTCACTTCTCATTCTGTTTCTTTTATGGGTATATGTTATGTTTTAAAAAGAGCATTCTTTTTAAAGAATGCTCTCTCTTTCCTGTGGTCCTGGTAACTGCTAGAGCTTGGATGTTAGTTGTAGGTTGGCTAAGAAGAGAAAAAGGTATGCTAGCAGGTTGTGTTGTTAAATTTCAGGAATCGCATCTTTACTCAGAAAGTATGTCTTTTGATTTTTTTTATCTTAATAAAGTACATTCTAAAGCATTTTAAATAACTAACCAGGAGAAACCAGAGCTGCCCATTGAGACACACACACACAAGTTGCCCACTAATAACAGCTGACTTATTCAGGTCTTCAGTATAAACACAAGTTTCATTTAAAGGCAGCTGAAAATAAGGTTGTCAATCTACATGGATCAGCTGACTAGCACTGCATAGACAAAGAACAGGGAAACAGAAATAGAAATGTCAGTAGGCTGTGTGCAATCATTATTGATATGCGTTTCATTTCTCAGTATAACAACTTTGCATTTTTATAATGTGGAGAACTCATGGTAGACTCTGTGCAAGCATAGAGGACATCAGTCTACTGGTTTCCTATTCCCAGGTAGAAATGATCAGATGCAAACTTTTCAGAAAATCAGAAGACATTCCATACTTACCTGTCTTTATGTTTTGTGTTTCTTTTCTTTCGTTTCACTCAGTCATTCATCTCTCTATTGTCTGCATACATATCTATCCATCTATTTTTTCCTGTTGGAGTACTGTAGGCTTCTTTTTTATGTGCTTTCCATATTACTTTTTACCATTTTTTTAAATAAAAGACAGATGAGTAGTCTCTAATCCCATGACCATAACTTGTCTTAAGGTGCCTTAGAAGCTGCATACAGCCTGAGAAGGGGTTATCTTAACAGGGCATGGATTCTGGCACCAGATGACCAGGGTATGAATGCTAGCATTGCCACTTGCTATTTTTAACTTCTTGGATAAGTCTTTGTGTCTCAGTTTCTTCATTTGTAAAATGGTAACCAAAGAATACTTATCTAATATGTTTTTTTTTTTTTGAGAGAGAGAGAGAATCGAAAGGGTTTATTCATAGAAATTTCTTGGAAGAGTACCTGGCATTAATAACTGTTACTAGATACCAGAAGCTGATGGTCATACTCTTATTTTGATACCAGAGGTAGAGAAGGAATCTATATAGTCAGTAATATCTTGGATGATAGCATCACTTACTGTAGTACTTAAATCAAGAATATTATTAAAGACATTGTCTTAAAATCAAGTTATTTCATCTGGCATGTGTGTGTTTGTGTAGGTTTCTGTGGAGGATCACCTTAAACAGCTTCAGGAGGCCCATAGAGATTTTGGACCATCCTCTCAGCATTTTCTCTCTAGTAAGTACTAATAAATTTGAGTAATCGTTAATTGAATGAATTAGCATATTCTTCCACTTTCACTGGAGAAGTCATGTTCTTTTGTTAGGTAAGGAGATATTAACACTAATTAAGGTGTTATTTATTGCTTATTATTTGTTACAGTGTGATAATAACTGTTAGATAGTTGAAGGGAAACACAAATGAGTTTGTTTCTAGATATGGTTTTGCACCTGGCCATTTGTTATGATAAGTAATATAGTATTATGTCACCATTAGTATAGTATTATGTCATTATGTTTTGACATATGCAAAGATTAGGACCTTTTCACACACAAAAAATCCACTTTTATATTTTAAGATATTAATGATTTTTCCTTTATAAAAGTGCTTATTGGTTTAAACCACACCTGTAACTTTTAAAGTTACAAAAAATTCTCTATATATCTTTAAATGAGAATATTTTGGTTTATTAGACTTGCTGCATTCATACTCAGCTATTTTTCTGGGCAAGTATTACGGATTTAGCAAAGCACATATGTAGATTTTTATGAAATAGTCTCCAGCTGGAATTTTCAATTTTATGTACAGTCCATGAGATCTTAAATAAATAATCTGAGCTCGTATTTTATTTATTATTCACTGCTGAGGATACTAAAGAGTCTAGAATTTAGAGTTACCCAGATTGAGTTTAAATATTCACTGTGCCTTTTATAAGACCTGTGAATTTCTGAAAGTTAATTTCTTGGTCTTAAAATACCAATATCTATCCTCTGATTACCTTGAGAATTAAATGAAAAAGCATATCAAGTTACACAAAGAAGCTAGCTCAGTTCTTGGCACAAATGCTTTCAGTAAATATTAACTCCTTTTCTTTTATTTCCTTTGGCAAATATATGTAAGAAAGCAATTTGTTTAATTCCATTTGAGTAAAGTTTAAAACTGAGGGCAAAGTGTGTTTCTCAATCATGACAACTTCTTTATATCAATAATCACAGAGAAAAATGAAGTATAATTCCATGTCTCAACTAAATTGATTACATTTGTATTTCCTCTTAATCCTTTTTACTGCTTTAATTGAGATTAGAGGTAGACCTCTTCTGTCACAATTGTGAGAATCTTCCTCTGTCATTCACACATACTCCTCTTTAGCTTCTCAAAGTTGAGCCGTGAGGTATTCCATCTTTGATCAATATGTAGTCCTTCCTGGTATTCTGGGTCAGAATGCGTTTTTTAGTTTGAGTATCATCAGTATTGATAATATAAATAAATTTACAGTATACTCATTAGGTATTAAGCACTCCAGATTTCTTAAACTTAATAGCATGTAAAACACAAAATTAAAGGGGAATTGACAAAAATAATTGAGACTGTAAATTCTAAAGATCACTTATCTGTTTACATTAATGAAACCCTACATTTTCACCTCACACCCACTCTTTCATTAAAGAAATTAAGCTCACATTCTTTAAGAAATGAAATATTGAGAAATTCAAGCACATGGCCTTTTATTGTCTAGTGCTGATGGTCCCAGGAAATGGAAGTTACTCAAATCAAAACAATTATTAAAATGAATGGAGAAGTATAAACAAAATTCCAATTAGTAAATTTTATAATTATTATCCCTTGCTGCTTACAATCTTTGGCTTTATTATATTTTTTGGAGTTTAGCCACTGTTATAAAAGAAGCCTGTCTAGTTAGGCACAACAGAAAAACTGACCCATTAGCCTGGTCCAACACTGAAATGAGGTTGGTGCTAATGAGAAACTTAATGTACCTAGTTCCTCATTTTCATCCCCTTTTTGTACTTTCATGGACCCTGTTGGAGAAGAGAGTGCTTACGTGTATAAAGAGGAAGAAAACCTGGTGGACTAGTATTCAGAAGTATTGAGGTCCCATCTGAGCTCCACCCTGTGTTTCATAGTTAACACTCATTGGAAAGTTATTTTACTTTGATGAGTTTAGCTCCCTATCACATGGGACTTTAATATGTATCTTGCTGGCTTTTCCAACAAAAGATAGGTTTGAAACTGCTTAGCAAAGTTTAGAATGCTATATATTTGTAAGCTATCAATGTAATATGAAATTCAGAAAAAAAATCATTGGGACAACTGACTACATGAAGGTCTAGTGATATTTACAAATTTGTATTTGATTTTATTTACTAGTTCACTTAGCAAAATTCTTTCATAGTTCAAGATTCACATGTGTTACTGTTCTTCAATAAGTCATAAAATAATTGGTTTAGTGTAGGAAAAACAGTTTTCATAAATAAAAAGTAAATGGAATTGTAAAAAAATTAAGCAACTTAGTTAAAAGACATACAATCTCAATCATAGTAATTTTTGCTGCAAAAGTAGAAGACTATGCTTTCTGTGCATTTCAGATGATAAAAAGTATCTGCACTTCTGCTCAGATGATTGCTTGGGTTCTTTACAACCCTTTGCCTATTTTTATTTTTCCTTTATGTCATGTATTTGAATTTGTTTAAATGCCATCTGTATCCAATAACCATGCCTGTGATCATGATGCAAAGTAAAGAATATTGTTAGTGATCTGGAAAAGTCAGGCTGGAGAAATCTAGTTTGGATATATAAATCTAGTCTGAATATAAAATGTATACAATTTCCAGATGGCACTAAGTTTTAAAGTACAGTGATTATAAACAATAAAACCTGAGTTTTGAGGAAGTATTTTTAACCAGTTCAGTTAGTTGGAATTAGAAATTGAAGTGGTGTTGTTTCTTCCCTCACTTCAAATGAATCTCAGAACTGTTCTGTTTGGCTTAGTGCATTTCTTAATTATAGATATTCAGCTCAAACACCAAAGCTGCTCACATTGGATTTGCTGTAAACTGTATTCAGTTGCTTTTCATTAAGGTGAGAGGCTTTTGCGTCACCCGTGTTTCCAATCATCTCCCTTTGTTTCCTCAGCTTCAGTCCAGCTGCCGTGGCAAAGATCCATTTCACATAATAAAGTGCCCTATTACATCAAGTAAGTTGATTTTTAATTCTCCTTTATGATACCAAGACAATAAAGTTTTATTGATAACATAAGAGGTGCCCCCTATAACTTTGAAAAATGGAATTCAGTTCTGTTATCTGAAGGAAACTAATAATATATTTAATATTTGAAGGAAATAAGTTTAAAAATCAGGGTGATATTTGTCCTTGATTAGGTTTTCTTTGTCTTCAGGAAATTTCATCTGCACTAGTTGAAGCTCATCATTTTTTGTTGTCAACATAGCTTCTCCTTTCTTTGTATCATTTCTCCTTCTTATGTGATATTTTATAAATTCTGTATAATTTACTCAGCATCTTACTAGGACTTGGTCCTTGGCTTAATCTGTATAGTGTATAAGACTGAACAATGCAATCCTACTTCTGTAATCCCTTGAAGTGCAAGTTGGTAAAGCAATTAACTTACAGTGTAATACAGAGAGGTGTCATAGCTGACCTTATTTTGTGTGTAATGAGAACTGCATCATAATTGTGAGAATGCACTTGATCAGGAGGCAGTTGTGTCTCAGATTACATGTGTGACTTTAGGCAAGTTGGGAAAAATCTCTGTGCCAGGTTTCCTCTGCATCATTTCTAAAACAGGATGCAGTATCCCCAAAATCCATGCCAATGCTAGTAATGTATATTTCTGGAATTACTCTTCCTGAAAAAAATTTGTGTGTAAAGTCAATCTTAGTGAAATGGTATTTGGTAGTGAGTCTTTTCTTGTAGTGTGAAATATGTTGTCAGGTTTTTTTTTTAAAAAAAAGAACTGTGGCCATAACATTTAACAAATATAGTAAGCAATGTATGTTACATTATCTTGTGACATTTTAATATTTTTATTCAAGCACAATATATGTATATTGAGCTGTAATGATTTTGAGAACAAAGGTATCAAACCAGTTGATGGGTGTCCAAGTTGTATAAGCATGAATGGAAAGAAGTTAGAGGCTGGGCAAATTGGCATATCTTTGCAGGTATGATAATCTAATTCAAATTAAAAACTTAAAAAAAATTACATTTGTTTTCTGAATGATGATGATGATAGTAATAGTATTAGAGAACGATAATTTACTCAGGCAATTATTGACTTGAACTGAATGGTACAGGCTTACATAAATATCTGAGGCCAGCTCAGTGATGCCTACCTATAATCCCTGCAATTTGGGATGCTGAGGCAGGAAGAGGAAGAGTGCAAGTTCAAGGCCAGCCTCAGCCATTTAGTGAGGCCATAAACAACTCAGTGAGACCCTGTCTAAGTAAAAAATAAAAATAAAACCCAGAGATATAGCTCAGTGTCCCTGGGTTCAATCCCCTATACCTCCACCCCTCAAAAAAGATATAAATCTGAGTGAGACAGAATAATGCCCCTCTCGCAAAAGGTTCCCCACATCCAATCCCTGTGAATGTTAGGTTGCATAGCAGGGGAGAATCCAGGTTTCCCATCAGCTGAAGAATTGCAGAGCTTATCCTGATAGACGCAATGTAATCACAAGGGCCTTTGAAAGTGGAAGAGAGAGGTAGGAGTCACATCTCAGAGAGAGATTTGAAGATGCCACTTTGCTGGCCTTGAAGATGGAGGAAGTAGAACATGAACCTGGCAATGCAGGCAGCTTCAAGAGGTTGGTAACGGCAAGGAAATGGGAATCATGTAGAACCTCTGGAGAAGAACATTTTGCCAGTTGTGATTTTACACATGGAGACTTTATTGTGGCAGCAATAAAAAACTAATTCTTGTACTATATAAAATCTAGATGCATATGAAAATTTATTGGAATTAATTAATTGGTTCAATTCCTAGAATCCTCTATCATCTTATTTTTAAAAAATAAAAACTTGATCTAGTAAGATAGATTTTTTTGTTTTTTTTACTAAAGAAAATATTTAACCTTAAATTCATCTTATTTTTAAGAAATAAAAACTTGATCTAGTAAGATAGATCTTTTTTTTTTTACTAAAGAAAATATTTAACCTTAAATATCTTTTTTGCTTATGTTTTATACAATAAAACATTTGATTTTCTATTTGATTTAGGACTTTCAAAATCCATCCTTAATGTTAACTCCTAGTATAAGAGATTTCTGTATGTCTGATCAGTTTTATATAGCTGAGGATTAAATAGTGTATGTCAGAATTTCTCTAATTCACAATGTTTATAAGATTAATAGGATCTTGTAAGGATGTATTCTTGCTCAGCCTGTGAGTTCTCATAGGAGACATGTTAGACTCATGAGTTCCAATCCATCATTGAAAGTTAGTTTGTCTGTCATCTTATTGGCTAGAGCTACAACCAGGTTTGGAATATATATGTTTAACACAAGGATGCTCAATGTTTTTTGATGACCTTTAGAACTAAATCATCCTAAAATATCTTCTACATCCTCAGTAAATAATTGAATTTCCTTAAATATATATACTTTCAGTGTTAAATGATGTATTTTCCAATGTTCAAATATTTTAAAAATCTCCCATCTCTATAGAGCAAACTTTCCAGTTTTTATAAAACTTATTTAACCAGGATCTTTTATTGCTTGTTCTTTTGTGTAACATAATAGTTTATTTCCTCATAAAGAAGAAACATCACGCTTAGGTGGTAGAGTTATAAAAGCCAGTATTTCTACATGAAGAATTGTTTTTGAAAACAAAATTTAATTTCTAAATAAACTAATAAGCAAATGAATGAAAATGAAAGGCTTTTAATATACATTTTCTTTCTTTTTTTTTTTTTGGCATGGCTGCACCAGTGAGTTGAAGAAAACTGTTAAAAAGAAATTAAGCATGATTGCCATGCAGTTGGAATTTCCTGGACAAATTTTAGTATATTAATTTGGCCAACCAAAAAATAATTTTCAAGTAGAAATATTAGATGTTTGCAATGTTTTGTTTTGTTTTTATTTGTTGGTTGCTTGCATTCCTGGTGATTGAACCCATGGCCTCACTATGCTAGGCAAGCACTCTACCACTGAGCAGACCCCAGCTCATTTTCAATGTTTAAATACACACTTTTGTAAATGTGCTGTAATGCTAGAGTATAGTAAAAATGTTGAAAGGAAAAAGAGGACAAATTACTTTTATTTTAATTTTACAGATTGGTTAAAATATACTTTGGTGGCTTCCCGGTGCATTTCTTTTTTTTTTTTTCTAGGTAATTTTTATTAGAATTTTAAGTATAATTAAGTATATTAAGTGTAATACAGAGAGTGATTCCATGACTCATTTTTAGAAAATGATAAAATATAGTTCTGAACTGTTATAGTATATGTGGCATGAATCCCTTCATTATTAATATGAAGGGAATATTATTAATATCTGTTAGTTTTTCCATGATAATAAAAAGACCTGGGATAATAAATTTATAAGGAGGAAAAGTTTATTTTGGCTTACAGTTTTAGAGGTTCCAGTCCATGATTAGTTGACTCCATTGCTTTTGGGCTTGTGGCAAGAGCTCGAGTTGGGAGAAGCAGGTGGCGGAGCAAAAACTCTCATCTCTTAGCCAGGAGGCAAAAGAAAAGAAGAGGAAGGGTCTGGGGTCCCAGAGTGCCCTTCAACACAAGGGCCCAGTGACCTGAAGACCTCTCAGTAGGCCCCACCTTTTAAGACACAAAACCTCCCAACTGTGCCAATCCAGGAGTAAGCCTTTGACATGTGAGCCTTTGGGTGATATTTACATTCCAGACTATAGCAGTATCTTCAGTTGGAACATACCTTTAATTATACATGCTGCCTGCAAGGAAGACTTTCTGGATATGCTCTGGTTAGTTTTTTTTAATATAGTCCAGTGACAGCTTAGGTACTATGAGTTTAAGAAACCTTGAAATTGGCTCCTATTACCTTTATAATATATATATATATATATATAAAACTACCATAAAAGCCAGATCTCTTCCATTGTGAATTTCCAGTTCATTTTTGTGTTTTGCACAGGTCATTCATGTCTTCAGCTACAAGTTAATATCCAGGGACTTTGAGGGGTAAAAATAATAATTGATAAAATTTTTGTTTGAACTTTCCTCATATGTCACATTAATAATCCTGTGAATATGATTCCTTCTTATTTTATTCTGCAAATAATAATAATAAGAAGAATATGAATAAAAAGAAGAGGAAGAAGAAGAAGCAGTGGAAATAATAATAATAATGATAATTATAGTAAATTCCATTTTGAACACTGATTTGTCAGACACTATGCTGAATCCTGGGCATTACGTGAATAATTTATTTTAACACTTAAAGGAAAGAGCGTATAGTGAAGTATAGTTTTATCATTGCCCCTGTATAGTAACTGATAGATACATTAATAAGTAACTAATAAGTACACACAGAGTCTGCTTGAGATTGCATGTCCAGTAAGTGGACAAAGTAGCATTAAACCCAGGGACTGTTCTAGCTTTAGCCTGCTATGCAGGTCTGTCCCCTATATTCTGAAATTTTTAATTACGTAGAAAATTTGGCTAGGGAAAGATTATGTTTAGGAATGAGAAGAACAGTGAAGAAAATATGAGCAAACATCTTTTCTTTCTTGCTGTACACTGGTTACCATTTATCACGTACCCACTGTGTATAGCTGTCTGAGGACAGAGCCTTTACTTTCTCTGATATCCCAGCCTTTTCCAGTGTCATTCTGTCTTTGTGAGGGCCTTTCCACAGGCTAATCTCTATTATGTATATTTAAGAAAATTTCATACTGTGGTCCTGTTGTGGACTGGGGTGCTTTTCTAGAGATAAGAAAGTATTGCTCTCTACAGTCCTGACCGTAAGACCCCTATAGGAGTTCTGAGGTGGGGAGATGAATCGTGAAGTCTAGCTCTCTCCATTCCCTAGGCAAGGAGACTTCTGCCACTAAGTAGAATTCTGTTTGTAAGATGTCAACAAAGTCCTGGGTCTTGCCACCTAGCTGGTGATCTGCACATCCAGCCTGTTGGTGATTGAGCCTGTTGACTAGGGTGTAGAAAGGATGGTTCTCCTTTCCTCTCCAAAGCATCTTCTCCAAAC